TATGCGTCTTTGTAAGGAGTAAAAGAAAGGGCGTGGCCCAAGGTGTCCCTGTAAACCGACAATTATCTACTATTATTTTATAAAAATTGTAACTCAAGTATTCTTTTTGCTAAAAATTCTAACTCAAGTATTCTTTTTGCTAAAAGATCCTCATGCTGCTCATCAAGAAACTGGTCCTAACCTTCCAGAATCATTTGAGCCAATAACAGGTATTTCTTTTAAAACAAAAAAAAACTGACTGTAAATCTACTTGTATTATTTTGATTGGTCGAAAAAAGTGTGTAATTTATATATTTATTAGCGTATTTTTATATGCTTAATTTTGACACATTTATATATTTTTCGACTCATTTATTTATTACTCGGATCAAAGTACTATGATATTTTTATGTCTTATTTTTAGGATATTGGAGTGTTTTACGGGCGATGTGTGGATGAACGAAATTCCAGCCCTATTTTCAGCCCAACAGCGGAAGAGGTTAAATCAAAGGCCATCATGCATATGGGCTAGTCTAAAGCCATTAATTTGTTGTTGAAAATTAAAAGTAAAAAGTATTTAAATGACTTTGGTGTAACTTACGAGAATGGGAGAGGTGAGATATTAAGTGGGGCCCAAAAGTTGCATGAATTAGTCCACTTCATGACTTATTTCAAGAGCACATAGGATTTATTTGCGGGACATAAAAAAATACGCAAGCCTGGGACAGAGCCGCCACACAGACCATACGCAGAGAAAAGGAAGGAGAACAGAGAAGCACGGAGAGACGAAGAGCCCGATCAATCGCGGAGGGAGACCGCACCCGCACACGAAAGAGGATAATTCTATTCTCTTTCTTTTATTTTTATTTTTATTTATTATGTTAGAGTAGTTTTTATTCTCGTTCCGGGGAAGTTGAACCCTACGACTTGATGATGTTTGATTGATTTATGCGGTTGATTATTGAGTTATCTTTTTGGAATTGTTTGTGTTATTTTGAATAATTAACCATGATGTGTTGAGTCTTATTTAGATTGATCACCTAGATTAGGCTTTACATGTCTACACCTGAATTAGACCTTCAATCCGTAATTGTTGATGTGTTTAATTCGCAAGTGGTATCCGGAAGATGGTAACTACTGGGGATAACACGGCCTATTTAAGTGAACGAATGCGTCACTACTTAGTCTAGCCTATTTTTCTAATTCGTAAAGCGGCTGATTGTATTAAATCTAAGAAGCGTTTTCTAGACTGTACAAGAAGTCAGGTCTAATCGTAGAGCGTCTCGCGGTTAGATTAAAAATAAGGAAAAATTCGGGTAACAGACCGTGTCGTTGCCTAGGGCTAGTAATTTCATAAGATAGCGAGATTTGATGCCAGAATTGATTAGACGAGTCAGTCGAGGGTGTAGACGGAACCGTGAACTAGAAATTTCTCTTATTTATTTTATATTTATTTTTATTTCCTTTCTTTATATTTTTAGGATTTTTAGTTAGTTTAATTATCAAAACCCAATCCCCCAATTTACCGCTTTTATAAATTCAATTATTACGAGAAATTCACAATGTGATTCATACTACTCGTGGGATCGACCCTTACTCGCCACTACTACTAGTTAGTAGAGGTTTGTCAAGGAAAAATATAAATTCTAATTTGCCGCGTTGCGACGCGCGGTCTATTTTATAGAAAATTCCGACTCAAGTATTCTTTTGGCTAAAAGATCTTCATCTTCCCGTTGAAGACACCGATGAAACAGGCTCCCCATTGCTGCCACAAAATGGTTTTGTTTTTATATTAAAGACCGTAAACAAACGGCTATCTCCTTGTATTTATTCTGACTCAAGTATTCTTTTTGCTAGAATATCCCCGTACCCCCATGGACACCCAAGAAACAGAAGAAACAGATTCCGTTGTTTCCCTCAGAGTTGCTTTCTCCCAAGTTTATGTACGGAGGAATAAAAGAAAGCAATTGACGGAAGAGCAAGGTGCTCAAAACGTCCCCATTGCTCCCGTCCAAAGAAAAGGCAATCGCATGTGGAAGCAAACGAAGATATTTTCACCGTCAGATTTTGCAGGCCAAGGTGCTCCCATTGCCCCCGTTCAAAGAAAAAGCAGTCGCGTGCTGAAGAAAACAAAGAGATTTTCACTGTCTGATTTTGCATGATAGATGGATTTTCAAATTCAGATTCTATTCTGAATCACTGTAAGCAAACAAACGAAGGGTTGTTTCATTTATCTTATGTCAAACAGAGGGTTAGTCCAAATGAATAGTCCAAATGAATACATGAATGCTATATTTTGAATATTTTGAATGAATGTATCAAACCTATGAATATTTGAAATCTAATCCACACATGCTACCCACCCTAATATTTTAATTAGCATACCTCACTTTTAATGGCAACACTGTCATATACCATATTATTTTAACCAAGCAGCAGGATAATTGTCCATTTCGCATGAAAATACATAATCTATGTACCGATTGAGTCAAAACTGTTACTTTTGAAAATATATGATTTAGTGCATATTTACACTCAAGACCATATGTGGTTTCGTGATTGTAATAAATTGAATTGCTTACAGTCTTGAGACACTTCAAAGGTAATCACTCGTGAGAATCCTTACATTTGGAAAAAAGCCATAGAGTGTAAATATTCGGTTATTAATAGTATGAAAACTCTTTATAACCGTTTATCTATTGTATGAAGCTGACTGGTGCTATTTGCATATGACATATACATTAGCAAATTGCATCAGTCAACTTCAATTAGTGCATATTTACACTCTAGAAAATATATTGTTTAGTGCATATATTCACTTTTTAGAAAATAATCGTAATAAATTGGATTGTTTACCGTCTGTGTTAAACGATTTAGAAAATTGTAAATACCTGAGAAGTGAGACACTTCAAAGGTAATCACTTGTGAGAACCCTTCATGCACCTCGGACTTTATCCTCTTCGTATCCTACATTTGTATTTTAACTACATATTCATTTCAAAAATAAAGAAGATACATATACATCTATGTACCGATTGAATCAAAACTGTTACTTTTGAAAAGATATGATTTAGTGCATATTTACACTCAAGCCCATATGTGGTTTAGTGACTGTAATAAATTGAATTGCTTACAGACCCGAGACTCTTCATAGGTAATCACTTGTGAGAATCCTTACATTTGAAAAAAAACACAGAGAGAGAAAATATTTGATTATTAATAGTATGAAAACCGTGTGTAACCGGTCATCTACTGTATGAAGTTGACTGGTGCTATTCGCATATAAAATACATTAGCAAATTGCACCAGTCAACTTCAATTAATGCATATTTACACTCTAGAACATATATTGTTTAGTGCATATATTCACTTTTGGAAAAATGATTGTAATAAATTAGATTGCTTACCGTCCTTGTAAAACGATTTAGAAAATTGTAAATACCTGAGACACTTCAAAGGTAATCACTTGTGAGAACCCTTCATGCACCTCGGACTTTATCGTCTTCGTATTCTACATTTGTATTTTAACTACATCTTCCTTTCAAAAATGAAGAAGATACATATACATCAATGTACCGATTGAATTAAAACTGTTACTTTTGAAAATATATGATTTAGTGCATATTTACAGTGTAGACCATATATGGTGTAGGGCATATATTCATGTTTTTTAAAATGGTTGTAATAAATTGAATTGCTTACAATCCTGGTTAAACGATTTAGAAAATGAATTGCAATATATTCACTTTTTGGAAAATGATTGTAACAAATTGAATTGCTTACAGTTATAATAAATTGAATTGCTTACAGTTCTGAGACACTTCAAAGATAATCACTCGTGAGAACCCTTACATTTGGAAAAAAACACATAGTGTAAATACCTACTTTATGAAGCTGACTGGTGCTACTCGCATATGAAATACATTAGCAAATCGCACCAGTCAACTTCAATTAGTGCATATTTACACTCTAGAACATATATGGTTTAGTGCATATACACTTTTTAGAAAATGATTGTAATAAATTGGATTTTCTGGCAATAACACTAAAATACACACCAAAAAATACCATTCACGAATACCAAAAAATGTCACCACCAGTATAGAACACACCATCAATGTAGCTCATTTGCACCTAAACGAAAGCAATCAGCAATAGCAATGTTGTAGTTCCACTCCTCGCTGCCCTGTTTTATGTTTTCATAGTCAATAGGATTTTGTCTGATATAGCTTTGAACATCATCGGCATCAGCTAATTTTGTCAAATAGTTTACAAATTTCCCTTCAAGATCTGCAAATAATTGTTTATCAATTTAGTTGAAAATGATGAATTACAAAGTCAAGAAAAATGCTTCTCACCCAAATAATTGTCGTGAACTGATCCATTATAGGTTTTGAGGAATATGGCATTGTGGAGCTACACAATTCAAAAAAGAGAAATATTATATAGCATCTACACGAGAATACAAGAATTCTATCACATAAAGAAGTTTGAGTTGCTACACTTACTGGGTTAAGAAATAATTTGTAAGGTGAGTCATCGACTAAGACTGTGTTCGTGGTGTCATACGATTCAAATACTCGCCAAAACTGCTCCAATTCCTTAAACATGACTGGTTTTTCTGGATTATCCTTAAGGAAGGAGCTTGTCTTTTTGCATTTATCTTGACCCTACGGCACAACATTCAACGCAACATTATACTAAAATTACCAAAGTTCTACTAAGACACTGACCTTACAAATTCTAAAGGCTCACCCAAACGAACTTCAGTTCTTCAGTTAACTGTCTTCTCATTTTCTGGGACATTTCGATCAATATTGGATCCACATTTTTTCTAGAAAACAATTAAGCGTAAAACATAAAAAACAATCCACAATTGATGAATATTAATAATTTATATATGAGTTGAAGGATACCTCATTTTCGATGACCAAATGGCTACAGAACATTGATGCTCTGCCCTACTTTTATTTTGATTCAGGGGAAGAACTTTCCTTCCAATACCCCATCCCCATTGCAGCCCTGCCCAGAAAGAGAATCAACAGAACTTCACCTAGCCGTTAGAAGAGGGAGGCGTATCTGTAGGCCCCCCATCAGGCTCACATATAGTAGAAAACGCAAAAGGGGAAGAACTAGTGAATGTTACCTTGTCTTCCCCTTTTGCGTTTTCTACTATATGTGAGCCTGATGGAGGGCCTACAGATACGCCTCCCTCTTCTAACGGCTAGGTGAAGTTCTGTTGATTCTCTTTCTGGGCAGGGCTGCAAGGGGGATGAGGTATATTGGAAGGAAAGTTCTTCCCTTGAATCAAAATAAAAGTATGGCATGGCATCAATGTTCTGTGGCCATTTGGTCATCGAAAATGAAGTATCCTTCAACTCATATATAAATTATTAATATTCATCAATTGTGGATCATTTTTTATGTTTTACGTTTAATTGTTTTCTTGAAAAAATGTGAATCCAATATTGATCGAAATGTCCCAGAAAATGAGGAGGTAGTTAACTGAAGAACTGAAGTTCGTTTGGGTGAGTCTATAGAATTTATAAGGTCAGTGTCTTAGCAGAATTTTGGTAATTTTAGTATAATGTTGCGTT